ATTGAAAGACTCAGCAAATTGGCAAGGTACAAGACCAACATTACAACAATCAGTCTGAGTCCTTTACACCAGGGCAGGGTACCTTTTTCTGCAAAAAATTCTATCGTTCATGGGCCATATAAAATTATTAACTTAAAAATTTGCATGGTATGTATAGTCAAACAAATATACATTCTTGATGTCATCCTACAACTCTTCTGGACTTCAGTCATCAGTGTTTAATTCATCAAATCTGTTTTTTATATAATCTCTAAAGTCAGGTGGGATAAAGGTCAGATTTGACCTCTGGTGTACTTGTTTTAATTTTCTTCAGCTTCAGCTTGAACTTGCATATGAGCAATGATGATCTGTTCCACAATCTGCCCCTGGCCTTATTTTGACAGATGATATGGAGCTTTGTCACAGTCTCTTTCCACAAATGTAGTTAATTTGACTTCTGTTTATTGCATCTGGTGAGGTCCATGTGTATAGTCATCTTTTATTTGAGCTTATTTGCATTGAAAGAAGCGATTGACCTTGCAAAATTCTATCACAGGATCTCCAGCATCATTTCTATCACTAAGGCCATAGTTTCCAACAAGTGATTCTTTCTGTTCATTTGAAAGCTTTGCATTCCAATCGCCAACAATAATCAGAATATCTTGATTACATGTTTGATCAACTTCAGACTCAAGAAATTGGGAGAATTTTTAAGTTCCATCATCATTGGCTTTAGTGGTTGTGCTTACAGGAGGCAAAATTAGGGAAACTCAGACATTTCTAGACACATTGAGGGAATGAGTAATTGGACTTGGGGATTCAGTATCATCTAATCTCTGGGGACACCATGGTCAGTGGGTATCACAGGCCACAAAGACAGTGTGCATAGGTGAGTAGCAACAGGGATCTTAAGAGCTCATGAGACACCATCTAATTTATAATTATTGATTTCTCCCTGTGTGGAGGAAAGAAGAATGATGAAATTAAAACCATTCAGAAACAGTCCAATGGACTAATTGACTATGTGAGCATCAATTTCAATGATCTGAAGACCAGAAGAACCAGATGGTGCCCATATACCACTATAAATGGCTCTGAAAGGGATCACATTAGAAGGTCCTAGACAGAATGGCAGAAAATGTGGAAAACTGAAAATCATAAAAAAAGAAAGAAAAAAAACAAAGGGTCATACCTACTGATCTGAAAGAGACAGGAAGAACCCCAATGCTAAGGTCCTTGGTCCCTCTTCAGGTCAGAAACTAAAGTCACCTCTGCAGCTTATTTTTCAGGCAAGCACTAGATAGGTATGTAGGGTGGACAACAACAGTTTGGGGGCATGCATACAATGGTCAACCATTCAAGCTTTAAAGGGCAACATTTACCTAAGGACAAAATTCAGAGGGGGTGGAAAAGAAGGACGAATGGAAACACACAACACAGGAAAGAGGTGGAATAATGCATGTTATATTGAGGGGATTGCAATCATTAATGTGAAATGAACTGCATGATTTGTTGGATGTAAAACTGATGATTTGCTCTGTAAATCCTCATTCAGTTAACATTAACAAGTTAAAAAAATTTTGTAAACTTTGTTTTGCCAATTGACTGAGTTGTCCCATGACATATGGCTGTTTGGTTATGTCTCAGGAATATCTGTATTCCGTGTCTTCACTGAATAGATGTGCCTGAAACCATAAAATTTTCAATGGCTGTAGATTGCCATACCTGCTTTCTGAGATGGCTCTGGGTAGACTCGAACCTTCAACCTTTGGTTAGCAGCCATGCATGTTAGCCCTTCACACCATCTAAGAACTCCATTAAACTATCTATAGTGTTGTTATCAAGTGCCGTCAAGTCATTCCAACTCACAGCATTTCTGTATAGGTTTTCCAAGGCTTTAAGTCTTCGCTGGAGCTTACAGCGTCATCTTTCTCCTGCTAATGGGCTAGAACCGGTGATTTTGTGGTTTGCAGTGCAGTGCTTATCATAGGGAGCCACCAGGCCAACAGTATTGCTGTTGTTGTTGTCAGGTGCCATCGAGTCGGAACCGACTTTTAGCGACCCCATGCATAGCAGAACGAAACAATGTCCGATCCTGGGCCACCCTCACTACCGCTGCCACACTTGACAATGATGCCACCTGGCTGATCCATCTCATTGGGGGTCTTCCTCTTTTTCTCTGACCCTCCACC